AAAAGCTAGTAGTAACAAGTGCATCGCTTCTAGTAACAAGTGCCTTACTAGTAGTAACAGGAAGCTAGTAGTAACTACTAGCGTGGCACTTGTTCCTAATAGCTTCCGAAACGCGAGGCATCACGCTTTGCCACGGCTCCGCCACCGCTCTGTCAGACCGTCCTCGCGCTTGGAGCATGCAAGAGTGGCACGCCTTGAGCCAGGCCGCTGTCGGAGACGGTCTTCGTGTCGTGCGCAGTGGAGAGACCATCTCCAAGACCAAAGTCGTATTCAGAAACTGCGCTGTTTCTTCAGAAACTAGTCTTCAGAAACGATTTTGTTGTATTCAGAAACTACTTTTGTGGTATTCAGAAACTATTTTCATCGTCGGATTCAGAAACATTCAGAAACTACTATGTTCCTTGTATTCTGCAAAATGTGTGGCGGTGGGGTGGGGGGGGTGGGGGCGGTGGGTAGTTGCGTGAAAAGTTGATGATCTCTGTGAATAGTGTTGGTGTTGCTCTTCGTATTTTCCGAACATTAGTTTCCGAATACAACCGTGACCCCATCTCCAACGGCACGAGCGATTCCTGTGGAGTTCTGGGTAAGCAAAGAAGACCTGAACCACCTGGAGCCTCCAACATGTTTGCAAAGTACCGGGTTCCTCGTGCCATGCCAGCGGGCTCCGAAGGCGTTTCTGCTTTGAACTGAAGTACGAAGCTCCATACGTTGAGATGCTGTTGTAGAGTGAAGTGCTACAACCATATCCGCGCTGAAGGCAATGGACTGAAACTACTCTTGTACGTACACAAGATAATGTAGCTATATACTGGAAACTGTGTTTCCAAAATACACGTTCCAAACGGTTCCAAAGCCTTGAGAAGACCTCACAGCTAGGTTGGAGGCCATCACAATTAGGTTGGAGGCCACTAGAAGAGTCTAGAATCTTTTTCTAATTAGGTTGGAGGCCATCGCTATCAGGTTGGAGGCCAGTTGGAGGCCATTGCAATTAGGTTGGAGGCCGAGGCCATCGCTTCTAGGTTGGAGGCCATCGCTATACTAGGTTGGAGGCCATCGCTTTTAGGTTGAAGGCCATCGCAAGTTGGAGGCCATCGCTATGAGTTCGGAGGCCATCCCTTCTAGGTTGGAGGTCACCGCAATTAGGTTGCAGGCCATCGCTATGAGGTTCCCGGCCATCCCTGAAAGGTTGGAGGCCATCGCTGTTCGGTTGGAGGCCATCGCAAGTAGGTTGGAGACCATCGCTATGAGGTTGGAGGCCATCGCTTCGAGGTTTGAGGCCATCGCTATTGGAGGCCAATTGAAGAGTCTAGAAGAGCCTAGAATCCTTTTCTAAGACGGTTTCTTCACCTCAAAGCTGCTCACCTCGACCACGTCGCTCACCTTTGCATCGAGGCGCGTCGCCGCGGAGTGGCAGCGACTGCAGCTTTCCCCTTGGCACGGGCGCCGAGAGGTCTTCGAGATGATCTCAAACGCCACGATGGTCGAAATTGCTGCTTGGGACGATGCGGAGCAGCCATATTGAAACCAAACCCATTGAGCTGGCCTCCAAAAATGATTGTCAGGTGATAACAGGTATTTTTTGTTTTTTCGGATGGTAGGGATGGTGAAGAACACCATCAAGAACCCACCCGACACGTGGGACCAGGAGCATGAAAGGTGTAGCCCCAGCAGATTTGGTCACTGACTGCTTTGGACCTTGGCAGTGTTCTATTCATCTCATAGACACCAGAGGATTTGACCAATGCTTTGGACGGCTTTGGACATTTGCCTTTTGTGTTCAACATTCCACTTTCCCGAAAAAGTGCTCTCTCGCTGAGGTCATGTGAGCTCTGGCATGTTTGTTTCAGACACATGCACTCAGACTTTGAGGTCTACTGAGTCTACAGTTCATGAATTCGATACCAAAAAATGATTTCTGTTGAGAAGAAGGATGGTCCAGTGAAAAGCTTTTCTGAAGTGTTTGCCCTCTTAATGCTAGTTTTTTGTCTTCAGCCATGACAAGGTTGGGATCCATTTGTTCGATTTGCTATCGATCAGCTCTTTAGTGGGAGTTCATGCTCGCGAACATGAATCGTCCACAGCTTCCAATGACAGGCGCTTGCTGGAGGACAATTGGATGGAAGCTGGACGTGAAGAAGAGGAGGTCGGTGCCCTGGGGAGAGCGCCGAGAGTGCGTGCGCTGCCCTCGCGAGTGACCTCTGAGTGAGGTCCCCGGTGATCGTTTGGGGCCCAGACCTTGCTGGAGAAAAGGCACCTAGCAGGGTGAACAATTTTGACGTGAAACAGAGTCTAGTGACCCCCCCCCCCAGACCTTGCGATCCTGCTGATATCCAGTGCAGTGCTTCCTGATCCTATTTGTACAGTTGTCAGATTGTTCAGATCAGTTCAGTTGAATGTCAAGTTTGCGGTCACAAGTTGTCCTCCAGTCAGTTTGCACGGTGAACGAGTGAGTGAGTGTAAAACCGTATGTGCGGTGCATTTTTGGATCTGTTTGGATGGTATCTACAAGCAGATGTAAATCAATCGGGACAAGCAGATTTTGTTCAGATTATTTGTGTTCACGTTTGGGGGGTAGCGGGTCACAGGGGGGTTGGGTTCAGAGTTGGTTCCTGAAAGTTCGCCCATCGCTTTTTTACCAGAAGCATCCCTAAGGTCCTAAAGCACTCGTGTCAGAAATGAAAAGGAAAGGGGTATGGTGAGGTCCAAATCAGAAATCCCCTTTTGAAAGCAGTTCAAGAAAGTCAAGAAATGATGAAAAAAAGAAGGACAGAGACGCGACATAGAGAAGACACACAAAAAGAACGACAGGCTGATAAGAACAAAAGCCTTCTTGTATAGGAGTGAGGGGTCGTCAACTCCAAGATTTAAAAGTAATTATAACTAAATTATATTTATTGTTTCTAATAGCTTCTTGTTACTACTAGTAAGGCACTTGTTACTAGTAGTGATGCGCTTGTTACTACTAGCTTCTTGTATAGGAGTGAGGGGTCGTCAACTCCAAGTTAGCATGCTGGGCCAACAGGCCTTGCTCACTGCGGCCTCCGGGGCCATGGAAGAACAACAGCGGAAAGGCAGCCTGGCTGCATGTTTGTGGTGAAGGGATCTAAGGAAAGCTGTGGTTTACTTCAAAGAGAAACAACTGCATGTGCAGGTATGTGCAGGTCAGTTTCTTCTGCAAGAAACGGCGTATAACTTACACAGCTACTTACACAAATTCCTGGTCGAATGGGTAGCCATCGAAGCCGCAGCAAAGGGGAACGACGCAAAAACAGAAGGGACTGTGGCTTGATCCAAAACTTCACCCAGCCACCCGGCAACCCCATCTCCAAGTCTCATGAAGGAACGCCGTTCTCAGAAGAAAAAAACACATTTTATACCAACGGAATGAGTGCCTAGACGGAAACTTTATACAACATATAACCCCACCTCAATGATATAGTAATATATATATATAATATTTTATAATTTATTGTTCTAGTAAATATATTATATTTAATACAGTTCACAGTTCCATGTATGGTCGATGTCAAAATGTCAAAGACACATAGCCCCACCCCGCTTCGTGAAGGCATGGGGCATCGCTCTGGAGAGCTCCTGCGGAAGGCCCGTGACGCGGCCGCCGCTGCCAAGGCGCAGAGCGGGAGAACCCGGCAGACGCGGCCCGAGAAGAGTGAGAAGAGCGCTGAGAACGAACAGCACCTATAGTAGCCTTCAACAGTGCTTCCAACCTAATTGCAATGGCCTCCAGCAATGCCCCCAAGTGGGAGAACTTCAGCGGCCCGAGTGGGAGAAGAGTAAGACGAGTGGCCCAAATTATGAAGAAAAAGGTCAAGGTCGCATCCAAAAACGAATGCCCTCAGAAACCCGGTGTTGGTGAGTGGGTGACATCAACAAATGGGGTTGGGTGAATAGCAATTGACCTCGGGGGGAGGGTAAGATCACTGCGGGTGATGAATGCTGATTGGCTTGGCTCACGTTCCGTTTGTCTTTTTGCAACTTCACGTGGTGTGGGTTACTTGTTCGTCCAGTCGTGATGTTCAAACAGGTACACTCCCAAAAACTAGCATGGACCGAGAGAATGGCGCCATGAAAGACCTAGGGAGCCTAGGGTGAATGTGATTTGCTTTCACTCCAGGCCAGCGAGCAATGGAACGTCCTGCTGGCCGTGTGGAGACCCAGTGGATCGCCGCACGTTTGCGGATGGGCCGATGAGCATCTGTGATGCGGAAGATGCGGGTCCTTATGATGTGAGGTAACCGCCATGAAAAAAGGAGAAAGGCATTGAAAGGCTGAAAGCTTCAAGGGTTGGAGGCCATTGCTAGCATGTTGGAGGCCATCACTATCATGGACAAAATGATCCTTACTTCGCAGGTAGGGTGCAGCATCGCCCTATCCCAAGTCTCAAAAACCATTCTTCAATTGGATAAGTCGGGGTCAGCGAGGACCAGCCCATGTGGATTAAAGTTCCACCCCATCTCATCGAGTTTGTTGAGGGCATGGAGCTGAATGGGGTGTGGAAGGGACGCATACATTGGTCCAATGGGGTCGGACCGAAGTTGGCACTTGGGTTTGTTGGTTCATTTTTTGATTGTCAATGTTGGGAGATGAACATCAAGAACGACTCTCAAAACTCTTCACTTGCTGTGAGTCAACAGTCCATTTGTAGTATTGGATGTTTAGGCTGTGTTTGCTTCGCGTGTGATGGTTGTGTACTGGGGGAAACCTATTTTGACGGCCTCGGTCTTTGAACGCCTCATCCACGGTTCTGGGGACGCTTCACACAGGACAGGTAGCTTCACATGGACGAAAATCGCAGGCCGACGACCAAACTCCCGCGGAGAGCTCGGTTTCTCCGAACAGGTGCAGCATTTGATCGGTCGGCCTCCCAATGAGAGCGCGCCCGCCTACAAGGACATGCAACAGGCGCATTTGCGAAGGGGGGCTAGGCCAGTCGCTATAGGCCATATACTGATGCTCGACAATTAACATGGACCCTGAAATAGACTAGGTTGGAGTTTCCTGATCCTCTATGTTCTTTGCAAAGGTTCCATGGTCACGACTGGAGTGTTGGTGAAGGTCCTTTCGAGGTGAAGGGGTGGATTCCAATTCAAAAAAATAACACAAAACACCACCAGTTTCATATTGTCGGGCCAGAAGCCCTGCGACATCGTGTCAAGCGTCGCAAGACCAGCGCAACACCGTAGAGCTGGGCGCGTAAAATCACACGGACGGTACAGACGCAACAGTCTGGCACAGAATGCAGATGTCAACAGGTGGAAAGGTTGGAACTCAACGGGAACACCTATTCCATCCTTTTTCCCAGAAATGGATTTCGTTGTGTCATCAACATGGTTTAGATTATCTCACATTGCAAGGAACCATCATTTGCCAACAAAGAAAGCTGGTGAGGCGCACAGCCGACGCTTGGCCCTTGTTTTTAGATTCTGCAAAAGCTTGGCGAGAGCAATGCTGCCAAGAAGACTAAGAAGACCATCTCTCTCCGTTTAGGCTTCACCCTCAGGGCGATGTTCGTGGCGCTTGTTCTGCTCAAGAGAAACAAGTTTGACAACCGAAGAAGGGCTCTTAGGAATTGAACTTCACTGTTATATAATGTTGTACAGTCTTTTACAGGGAGCTTCAACAAAGAATCACCATGCTTCGGGAACCGGTCGGCAGCGTCGCATTTTTACGTCGTCTTCTATGTCTGCACGACAGGAGCTCCACCGCCAGAGAGAGCGGGTGATGTTGCAGGCGGTTCAGCGAAAAGGGGAGCAGGGCATAGCAGGGTATTCTTGAAATAGCAAAACAAAAGAAAGGAATTTGTCAATCGGTTCAAAGGAAGGTCTAGAGTCAGAGGTCTAGACTCGGTCTACAGGTCTGGAAAGGAAGTATTCAGACACAAAGCAAGAAGGGCGAAAACAGAAAAGAACAGAAGAAACGATCGTTCTTGCCTTCCTTGTTCTATTCTGTTGCAGACGGATCATCGATACTGGTGGGTCATACATATATATATATATATAGAGCCATTTGGCTTTGAAGGAACAAGAAGCTACTAGTAACAAGGGCATCGCTACTAGGAGCAAGGATGCTACTAGGGGCTCCTGGCCTTACTACTAGGAGCAAGAAGCTATTAGAAACAAGAAGCTACGAGGAACAAGCGCATCGCTACTAGTAACAAGTGCCTTACTAGTAGTAACAAGAAACTACTAGGAACAAATTGCTTTCATCCAGTCCAACGAATCTGAACAACCGATTGCTTGGACGAAGTGTTTTCGAAACGCCCTCTGGTCATAAAAATCCAAGTTGCTCTGAACCTCCAAATAGCATCTCTGCTACTAGTAGTAAGGATGCTCCTAGTAGCGATGCCAGGAGCCCGTAGCGTCCTTGCTCCTAGTAGCGATGCCAGGAGCCCCTAGTAGCGTCCTTGCTACTAGGAGTAATGCCCTTGTTACTAGTAGCGATGCCCTTGTTACTATCATACAGTATATACAGCATCTAAAAGCTCCTGGCATCGTTGGAAGAGTGGCCTCGATGCCACGCTGCCGATGCCCGTCCGCTTTTCAGCGGTTGAGCGGTGAGGCCAGAACCTTCATGCTCATCACCTCCCTCTTGGAGGGTGGGGTGCCGGTCACGCCCGCGATCGGCGTCCGTGAGGCGGTGGGCGAAAGGCCGTCACGTCATGTGTTTCTCCGTGCAAGGGGGATGCCAATGTCCGAGCGAAAGTGCTGCCAATGTCGTATGAAAGGTGGATGTGGCGTCCCAATAGAACTATAGGTGTCATTGTTGATCGCCCATGGGAAGCCCCATGGGATCATGCTGCTTCGCTGGAGTCGCAGGTCAAGTATGAGATACTCGTACGAAGTATGAGTCTTTCTTTTGCGCCCCCCAAATCAGAACCGATTAGACTCCCTTTTACGTCTTTCGGTCCCCAAAGTCCATATCCATTTTGCGAACACCCGTGAGCCGCCGGTCAACGCTCCTGGGCACATTCTTCTTGAGGGGGAATCGTAGCCTCGAGCTTCGGAAGTTGTAGAACCGCTCTACCCGATGATATGCTTTGTTTTTGTTGTTGATTCCGCTTAACTACACTTTGCTCTCCTATTGAGCAAGTGGATTATCCGAAGGGGATTCGCATGAGGGATGAGTTTGTGGCTGAAAGTTAACCATATATACTAGAGAAAACATATAAGGAGCAACACAAAAAAAAGGTTAATAAGAAGGTCTAAAGACATGAATAACAGATTCATTTGCCAAGCTACGAGGATGCCTCCAAAAGAGGTAGGACCACGAAGACCAAGAGTAGAGAGGGACCAAGAAGATATCGGACAACGTGTCTACTCCCAAAGCTATGTTTTGAGTCACCAAGACATTTCTCATCCGTCCAGATGTGCATTGCCTACGGCTGTGGATGCCCTGTTTCCACATCAAATCAGGACTCGAAGCTCAGTCAGCCAAACCTGAAGGATCACAGTGAACCTTTAGGATCCTTGTTCCTAGTAGCGATGCCCTTTGTTACTAGTAGCGAACCTTGTTCCTAGTAGTAAGGCCAGGAGCTACTAGTAGCGTCCTTGCTCCTAGTAGCGATGCCAGGAGCTACTAGTAGCGTCCTTGCTCCTAGTAGCGATGCCAGGAGCCCCTAGTAGCGTTCTTGTTCCTACTAGTAAGGCACTTGTTACTAGAAGCGATGCACTTGTTCCTACTAGCCCACGGAACTGAAGAGTCCGCCGAAGCGGCGAGGTGATGTGCATCCACCCAGCGCAGCGGACTTGGAGGCGCTGTTTGGCTTGCGTGGGAGACAGGGCGGCGGCCGCCACTGGAGTGCCAGGAAGTTCCCACCTGTTTGGTATTTGGACCAAAAACTCTTGCATGATTGTAGCTTCTTGCTACTAGTAGTATGGCCAGAAGCTACTAGTAGTTTCTTACTCCGTTCGTAGGGATGCCCTTTGCTACGTTCGCAGCTTCTTTTGGAGTGTAGATGGGCTCAGCCTCAAACCTCACGTAGCCCACGGCCCATCACAGCCCCGAGGCGCGATGCCTCCAGGAGCTCAGGCGCGCACGGCGCGAATGCACTGGATTGGTAGTCCGGAGGTCTCCGGTGCACGGGCACATAAAAGGACAAATATGCATCCGCGAATGATTTTCATTGTGTTTTTAGATGTCTCTATGATTCTCTATGTGTTTATCCATCCATCCAACCATCCATCCATCCATCCATCTATCTGTCTATCTCAAGAAGAGTGTTCTTATTTCACTTAAGAACTTGAACAGGGCAGTGATCGCCATGTTTGACTCTAGCTCGAGTACTCCTTGTTTCGCCAAGGAATGGCGAGCATGACATAGACAACACACCACTCTTGGCAGTAGGGGGACTGAAGTCCAAGAAGCTAGCCCCGTAGCGCTTTTGAGTTAGTTAAAGCATGGGTCAAGGTCAAGTGATGAACCTTCTGCAGATGTCCTCATGAACGCCTGAATATGATCTCAAACTCGTTTTCGAGCAGCCAGTGATGTGTACGTTCTAGACTTGCAACATGTTTTTCTTTGGGCAGCATATTTGATCTTTGGGGAGCAAAGAATGACACCCTGAGCCTTTTGGTTTTGTTTCATCCGGCTTCAGCCCCGACCGGTTGGGTCGCTTGGAGAGCTCATCCCAACTCTCCTCGAAGATGAGAAGTTTTTCCACTTCACCTGCAATGGCCTCCAACCTATATAAGAGCGATGGCCTCCCACAAGCAATGGCCTCCAACCTAATAGCCATGCGATGGCCTCCAACCTACTAGCGATGGCCTCAAACCTACTAGCGATGGCTTCCAACCTACTAGCAATGGCCTCCAACCTAATAGCCATGGCTCCCAACCTACTAGCAATGGCAGCCAACCTAATAGCCATGGCTTCCAACCAACTAACTAGCGATGGCCTCCAACCTAATAGCCATGGCCTCCAACCTAGTAGCGATGGCCTCCAACCTAATAGCCATGGCCTCCAACCTAGTCGCGATGGCCTCCAACCTAATAGCGATGGCCTCCAACCTACTAGCGATGGCCTTCAACCTACTAGCAATGGTCTCCAACCTAACAGCCATGGCCTCCAACCTAGTCGCGATGGCCTCCAACCTAATAGCGATGGCCTCCAACCTACTAGCGATGGCCTCCAACCTACTAGCGATGGCCTCCAACCTAGTAGCCATGGCCTCCAACCTAGTAGCGATGGCCTCCAACCTACTAGCGATGGCCTCCAACCTACTAGCGATGGCCTTCAACCTACTAGCAATGGCCTCCAAAGCGATGACCTCCAACCTAATAGCGATGCTAATAGCCATGGCCTCCAACCTAATAGATGGCCTCCAACCTATTAGCGATGTCCTCCAACATAATAGCGATGGCCTCCAACCTAATAGCGATGGCCTCCAACCTACTATAGCGATGGCCTCCAACAAAAATTGTGATGGCCTCCAACCTACTAGCGATGTCCTCCAACAAAATTGTGATGGCCTCCAACCTAACAGGGATGGCCTCCAACCTAATAGCGACGGCCTCCAACCTAATAGCCATGGCCTCCAACCTAATAGCGAGGGCCTCCAACCTAATAGCGATGGCCTCCAACCTAATAGCGATGGCCTCCAACCTAATAGCGACGGCCTCCAACCTACTAGCGATGGCCTCCAACCCAATAGCGATGGCCTCCAACATAATAGCGATGGCCTCCAACCTAATAGCGATGGCCTCCAACCTACTAACGATGGCCTCCTACAAAATAGTGATGGCCTCCAACCTAATAGCGACGGCCTCCAACCTACACCCTTCTAGCGATGGCCTCCAACAAAATAGTGATGGCCTCCAACCTACTAGCGATGGCCTCCAACAAAATAGTGATGGCCTCCAACCTACTACCCATGGCCTGCAACAAAATGGTGATGGCCTCCAACCTACTAGCGATGGCCTCCAACAAAGTAGTGATGGCCTCCAAACTAATAGCGATGCCCCCCCCGATGGCCTCCAACCTAATAGCGATGGCCTCCAACCTAATAGTGATGGCCTCCAACCTAATAGCGACGGCCTCCAACCTAATAGCGATGGCCTCCAACATAATAGAGATGGCCTCCAACCTCATAGTGACGGCCTCCAACCTAATAGCGATGGCCTCCAACCTACTAGCGATGGCCTCCAACCTAATGGTGATGGCTTCCAACCTACTAGCGATGGCCTCCAACAGAATAGTGATGGCCTCCAACCCAGACTAGCGATGGCCTCCAACAAAATAGTGATTGCCTCCAACCTAATAGCGATGGCCTTCAACCTACACCCTACTAGCGATGGCCTCCAACAAAATAGTGATGGCCTCCAACCGAATAGCGACGGCCTCCAACCTACACCCTACTAGCGATAGCCCCCAACAAAATAGTGATGGCCTCCAAGCTACTAGCGATGGCCTCCAACAAAATAGTGATGGCCTCCAACCTAATAGCGACGGCCTCCAACCTACACCCTTCTAGCGATGGCCTCCAACAAAATAGTGATGGCCTCCAACCTACTAGCGATGGCCTCCAACAAAATAGTGATGGCCTCCAACCTACTACCCATGGCCTGCAGCAAAATGGTGATGGCCTCCAACCTACTAGCGATGGCCTCCAACAAAATAGTGATGGCCTCCAACCTACTACCCATGGCCTGCAGCAAAATGGTGATGGCCTCCAACCTACTAGCGATGGCCTCCAACAAAATAGTGATGGCCTCCAACCTACTACCCATGGCCTGCAGCAAAATGGTGATGGCCTCCAACCTACTAGCGATGGCCTCCAACAAAATAGTGATGGCCTCCAACCTACCAGCGACGGCCTCCAACCTAATGCGCACACAGGATTAAGGAACCCCCCTCTATTAATCAAGCCCAGCTGGAGCCTCCAATAATAAACTAATTTGTACTCTGCAAACCTCCCTCTAATAATGACTTCCACCCCCCTATTAATCAAGCCCAGCCCCCCCCAGACAAAAATATAAGTTGTTCTATTTTTATTGCGTTTTTCTTTTTTAGTATTCAATATCTTTTGGTCCATGGTGAAACTGATCTTCCAATCCACCCTTGTCTCATGCCATCTCTTTGAGGGATAGCGTTCTGATCCACCTTTTTCCCATGCTGATCCTCTCATCCATCAATCATTTCGGATCATTCTGCTTGCTCTTCTCATCCTTCCCAGCAGCAATCTGTGCAGCCAACCATCCCCCAAAACACCAAAAAACCTCCAGCAAAATTCTTTCATTTTCCCTTATTAAAACTCTATCAAAATCTTAAGGTTTTCAAGCTCACAAAGGGTACCCCTCACACAGGCCCTATCACCCCCTAATAGTAGGGACCCCTCCCCCCATTAATCAAGCCCACCCTGTGGCCTCCATCGTTCTGATGTGGCTTCCAACTCTTCCAACCCTTTCATCCCAACTCTTCCAAATACTAATCCCCGTTCATCTCAATTCTTCCAAATACTCATTCCCTTTCATCCCAACTCTTCCAAATACTAATTCCCTTTCATCCCAACTCTTCCAAACACTAATTCCCTTTCATCTCAATTGTTCCAAAAACTAATTCCCTTTCATCTCAATTCTTCCAAATAAATACTTATTCCCTTTCATCCCAACTCTTCCAAATACTAATTCCCGTTCATCTCAATTCTTCCAAATACTAATTCCCTTTCATCCCAACTCTTCCAAATACTAATTCCCTTTCATCTCAATTCTTCCAGATACTAATTCCCGTTCATCTCAATTCTTCCAAATACTAATTCCCTTTCATCCCAACTCTTCCAAATACTAATTCCCATTCATCTCAATTCTTGCAAAAACTAATTCCCTTTCAGCCCAATTTGTCCAAATACTATCTGGTCAATCCTATCCGATCTCTTATCAAACTTGTGCCAATACACTCAGAGCTCTCATAGTTCTCATCGTTCAATCTCTCATGATACAGAATCCCATCAACCATCATCCATCATCAGGTCCAGATCCTCATCTCATCATCCATCATCAGGTCATCATCTATATTAAGGGATGTGGTCTGCACCCAAACCTTGTTGACCTTGTTGACCTTGAAGGGGGGGAGGGTTGATTAATCTGGTGTGTGCATTAATAGCGAACGCCAACAAAAAACAATGCCGTTCCAACGAAGCCGAGGCGCTTGCTGGCGGCGCAACGCTTGGTGCCGTCGGAGTGGCGGAGCTGGGGCAACCCTTCCGCCTGAGAAAAACCAAGAGCACTGAGCCGTGGCGCGGTCCGAGCACCATGAAGCAGCGTTTGTTACTAGTAGCTACAGCGAGCAAGGAGCGGCTAACGTAGAGTGTTTTGGCATCTTGGATCTCCATGCTAGCTTGCTTCCTCCAAGAATGCTCCCTCTACTCTTGCGGTCTTTCTCCTTCTTTTTAGACTTCAGACCAGTCTTTTCTCTTAGTTTCCTATTTCTTTGCTTCCTTCCTTTGCTCAAAAGCATATTCGAACCAAAGTGTTTTTTTGGTTACACAAAAACTACACGCAGCTACTCCTGGCATCGCTACTAGGAACAAAGGGCATCGCCATCGCTACTAAGACTTGTCTCCAGGATTGAATCCAAAAGTCAGCTGCGCCGGGCGCCTTCTCAGGCGCTTCTCACCCGAAATGGCACCACGCGTTTGTTTTTTGTGGTGTGTCTCCTACCTACCCAGTCAGTGGTTGACCTTTGACCCTTTCTGGGGGAAGGTTAACCTAGTGGTTAACCTTTATGTCAGTGTCAAGGGAAACGGCTTGGGGGTCTCCTAAGTCATTTCGATGTTCGTTTGACGCCCGATTTGGAGCGTTCGTCTTGGCCCAGCGCGGTGCCAAGCCGGGGCGGGCGATGGATTTCGGAAGGCCTCCGAGTTCTGGGAAGCTTGGAAGAACTTAAGCCCCGGAAGGGACCCCAGTTGGGGGCCGATCGAGGATCCAATTCGGGTCAAGTGGGGGGGGGCATTGGAAGAACATGGAGGAACTATGTGTTTGCTACTATTTTCTTCTTAGAGAAATCAAGATCCAACCTAGAAGCAATGGCCTCCAACCTAATGGAGATGGCCTCGTCAACTATTTGTTTGCTGTTTCCTTCCACTTAGAGAAGTCAAGATCCAACATTAGATGTCACATAATGACACGACTGTTTCAAATCATATGGAATCGCTTCACTTATGCTTGGCTTTTTTTGGGGTTGCACTGAGCGCATAGACAACTAAGAAAGACTTCGAAGAATGAGCGGCTTCACCGGTCCAGCAAGGGACGGCACTGTCCGAACAATGAACAAACATACAAAATAAGTTTTCATTTCACATCTTATACAGATACACTCCTGACTGCAGATTGGCGAGCTCAGATGCACGGTCAGCTTCCTGTCGAACACTCGAACGGGTCGGTGAAATCGACTCTGAACGTTTTTTTTGTGATCCATGTGCAACACAAATGCCTTAAGCTTGCGGCAGCCAAACTGTCTGAAACAGGAAGGATCATTCTTGCAAGGTGTCACTTTGCCAAGATTCTTTGAGGGGAGACGCACTTGTGGTATCTTGTGGTAATTTAAGTGATTGGCATTGTTTTTGGAGCCTTGAGGCGGCAGCTGCCCTGATGGGGCAAACGGATGCAAACGGCAAATGAGAGCCATTGCCAACAAAGCAATGCGAGTCTTTGGATCTTTCAATTATTGTAAAGGACAGAACAGTCCCTGTGGCTTTTGAGCCGGGCTCGCTACTCCAGAGGTTTTGGCCCACAACTGGAACCATGTCTTTGTTGTTCCGGTGTAACAAAGAACCCAATTTGAGGACTGGAGAAGTGTGCTTGGAAATGTGCCTCACCAGAATGCATGAGCGCAGGGGTCGTGGTATCACCGTGCAAGACTAATGTGTGTTTTGAGAGTGGAGCCTCACCTAGACAGTTGGTGTGAACATCAAGGAAACGTTCAGAACCCGGAAAACTCACCACATGCACACAGAATCTCCCAGCATCACTCCATCTTTGCCTCCCAGCCCCTTAGGAATGCTCCGAAGTGGGCTCTTTGCTCAGATCCCTGGCGACGATTCCGATGCAGAGGCGGGGCAAAGCGGCGCCAGGCATGCGATCTATACCCGATTCTTTTTTTGATGGTTGACTCATGGCCTACAAAGAAAACACCACAGAAACGTCGTTTCTTTGTGACAATGGTAGAAGCATGTATAAACCATGCATCACAAAACGTTTCTTAGGCGTTTTCTTTGTGCATGTTTCTGCCGCCTATGCGGCCCGTGGCTAGGCCGAGAGCGAGGAGGAGAAGCCGAGCACTGCAGAGGTGCTCCAGCGTGTGAAGAGCGTGCTGGGTGAGAGGCCGCCGCGCAAGCCGTGTTCGGCGCCGAACGCGGTCGCCGCGTATCAGTCGTACTTTAATGAACCGCACTTGGGCTCATCCAACCTAATAGCGATGGCGATGCCCTCCAACCTAACACTCCTTTCTGTGATGATGTGGAGCACGTGAGCAAAGGTTTGATGTGGATTGGGACTGGAATTGAAGGTAGAGACTGGCCCTCCCAAGTGATGGCCACCGCAAACACACACTTTAGCAGACATTTAATGTAGAGTTTAACTTAGTGATGGGCTCCCGTCATTGCCTTCAAAGACGTCCAGTTTGTTGCCAGGTTTGTGTACATGGATTGCAGAAACGATCAATTAGTCTTTCCCAACAAAAGATCAAAAAGGATGTGAGTGTGAACTGGAATCAGATACCCCCCAACCAATTTGTCTATTTCCCTTCTTCCATGTTTTATTCCAAGGTCTCCCCTCCCTATGTTTAAGCCACACCCAATCTGCGAGGTCTTCCTCTTGTTCCAGCTATCAGATGCTATCAGTTGGTTCTACCCACCCACCGCCGATTTCTGCAAAACAGGTGGCAAGAAGTGCCCTTCATGGACCTGGTACCCGCTCCACAGCAGCGCTTAAGTTGGGGAAACAAAACCGCACGCGCCGTGAGACGACCCCACAGATCACGTCGAGTCCAATGGAGTCAAGATCACCCCATGGAGTCTGTGACCATGTCAGACCCTCTTCGAAAGTGTTGCAACGATGCTTACGCTGGACGAGGGAACGAAGCACGGACTCGGTTCCCACGATCGGTGAAAGAGAGCAGAGCAAGTGACCTGAGGTGACCTGAAGTTCTGATTGTTTTACGGCACCGACTGCAGAAGACCTTGTCAATGTACCAGCCTCCTCAATAGTGGGCTAAAAGGCATGAGAAGTATGCGACGTGGAATGTGGTCCAGCAAGCTCCTTCACCGATTCCGTTGCCAAAACGGGTTTTCTATGTACAACATTGTACAACGGTGACTTCGTTACTTGGGCAAGTGCAGGAGCAAGCTGGTCGTGGTACGGTACGGCTGCCAGATCTATATTTATTCATAGTTGCATGTTCCAGCTTCAACACATCCATGTTTATAGACAACGTATTGCATCAGCTCACCACATACACGACTCTGCATGTACCAGTTCTTCTACCATTTTGTGTACTTTCCGGGTTGGTGCATGACGACGACGCACAATCAGGTGTGATGGCCTCCAACCTACTAGCAATGGCCTCCAACATAAGAGCGGCCTCCCACCTACTAGCAAAGGCCTCCAACATAGGTGCTATGGCCAGCAATGGCTTCCAACCTAAGAGCGATGGCCTCCAAACTACTAGCAATGGCCTCCAACATAAACGCTATGGCCTCCCACCTACTAGCAATGGCCTCCAACATAAGAGCGATGGCCTCCCACCTACTAGCAATGGCCTCCAACCTAAGAG